CAGCTTGAAATGTTGGACCGCGGTCACTGAATTACACTCAATTTACTTTTAGTTTTATAACAAGATTTCTCGCCCACGATTATTGTTAGGATAAAACGCTCTCACCCGCATGTTTGACACTTTCGGTAGAACAGCCCATGCAAAATTCAAGCCAATGCGATACCAAGGGAACGCAGCGTACTCGATAATGTAGTTCACTAATTAGTCCGTTTTCATTTGGCAGAAACGGCAAATAACCTTTCCACTGAACAAACTGGCCAATATTTTCAGTTTGGGACGTCGTTTGAGAAAAAATGTTACACTCGGGCGAAGGGTATACTTCTATTTTATAGATTGTGTGGTTCAAGTTACAAAGTGATCAAGCGTATCGTCGATATTCAACGTAAAAAAGGCTTCAAAGCACTGGCGAGACTCGTTCATCGAGATAGCGTTGTACAGTTACAAAAGATAAATTATGTAATCTTATGCGCATACAAAGGTTGTTTATTGACTGGACATAAGTGAGAGATTATGATTACTTCCTTAGTAACTGGGAACCGCACGACTGGGGTTATTGTGGCAGCTACTGCAATTTTTAATGTAGGCCAACTGTGATCAGTGTGAATCGCCGCGTGTTTTCTACACAATGTCCAATTTGCCGACAACGATCATATCGGTCACCCCCCTTAGAAAGAAAAAAAATATATATATATATATATATATATATATATATATATATATATAAAAATAAAATGAAATGTGCCTTGTTAATGTAGATGCAGGCGTGCTAGCTGGAGACGAGCGATAGAAACAGCTCGGTCGGACAGAGCATGTGTTTCGCTGTTCGGTCGAGCGGCAACCGGGACTGGCGTAACGATTATTCAATTGTATTTATATCTCAGTTTCTTACTGGATATTAAAATTTAGTTGTGATAAATAATTTGTCGTTTGGGACGGACAACGTGTGAAAAAAAGTACCTTGCCATACCCAAAGCCGGCCTGTAAAAAGATAACCCTGCCTGGTATACAGGAATCATGGAGCTCCATGCAGGAAGTAACCCTGCAGTACTTTCAGCTCTGAAAATTTGACGTCATAATTGGGCGGGGACACTTCGTATAAGGAGTGAGGTGATTGACACGTTTCTTGATTTGAATTTTATTTGTCGGAGCTCTACTGACGCCGCTTCTACGAATTCCCTTCTCAAGTTCGTTCTCGGCCCCGTTTGCCACTTCAACGACGTGTTTTTTTATATGGTCCCCGGTGGATCGGTGCCGGTAAACCCATGTACTTGGCAAATTTTGCCATCACACGTCGGCCTTTACCGATCACTCTTCCGGCGATCACCACTTTCCTGTTTACTTGGAACTCTTTTTCAAAAGACGTGAAAATTCTCTCTGCTGAGGAAAAATAACATTCGGAATTTGAACATTTAATTTGGAAGTGGGGTCCCCCGCCGTGCCGTGTGTCTTCCTCCAATGTCAAATCCTTTCGTTGCAACTTGAGCATCGCAATGATGCCGAAAAAGTTCGCTATTTAAAATGTAGACATCGATCAGTCTCAGCAATCCATCTGCGTCAGCCACCCCATCATCGTCACCATGTGACGATAATTTTCTTTCTTATGCACTTCTTGACACTTTTTCTAGTTCTTCAATTCTGAGCTACATGTAGATAAATGTTGCACCGTCGTTGGAGTCCGAACTTTCCGAACCGCGATCGATGTTATTTTTTGTGAGACGAAGTTTTGCTTTTTCGGATAACAATTTTAAGGAGCGCTAATTTTTGGATGTGTCACACACGGTGTACTAATATAGAACGATCACAGGGCGTGCGTGCGTTGTTTTCGTTGCTAAGTAGGCCAACTTATGCAAATTAGATCAATATTTATTGTTTGCGCTCAAAGCCGATTATCCTGAAATCAAAGTGAGCGGTCTGCTGTTATAAACACATATCCTAACTTTTTTGTTAAAAATGCCATTTTTGGGTGTACTGGTTACTATTTTGAGTGGAAAACACATCCATTGCATGCATATAGACAAATGCCACCAAAATAGACAATAAACAAAATATGTATAAAATAGTGACTGTTATGTCTACTACATCCTTAACAACAGTTGCTGGAAATTCCATTCTTGACGTTCGGATGCGAATACACCCAGTAATTGCACATGTGTACAAAACAAAAACATGTTTGTCTTTCTGTAAGATTATATACAAGTGTATAATATTATATATATCGTAACTTCAGTATATATTTTATTTATTCCATATTCAAGTGTTTTAAAACTAGACATGAAACTTGGTCCCTACTAAGATTAGTTTTTCAAAGATTACAAGAAAGGCACTTTAGAATATACTAGTATACTAGGAATTAATAACTGTTGTATATGCATACACAATACACTTGCCTCTGCACTGTTGCCATTATTGACCTACATTCTATATATTATACTTTGTTTGCAGATGCACCAGCAGGGAATTTTAAAAACAGATGACCTGATCACCAGATTCTTTCGTCTGTGTACAGAGATGTGTGTAGAACTTTGCTACAGAGCATTGGCAGAACAATCATCACATAGTCCAACTCTGATACGTGCCAAATGTTTTCACACATTAGATGCTTTTGTGCGCTTGATCGCATTACTTGTAAAACATTCTGGGGATGCCACCAATACAGTTACCAAAATTAATCTTCTTAACAAGGTAAAACCACTGTTGCGTTGTTTGTTTCGTCAGACTGGTGTGCTATTTTGTGTGACTACAAATGAAACTTGGGGATTACAATAAGAATACCCTATTAGTAGCAGATGTGTTTGCATAAATGAGGGGTGTGTCTGTTGTCATAATGAATCATACTTTAATGATCCTGTATACAGTGACTGCAATTTTTGCTTTTATTGAAATAAACTTCTAATAGAGCAAATATGGTACATCTGTAACTACCTACCGTAAATATTCTAATTTAGGTGTCATATTTAGAACATTTCAATTGTTCCTAGTGCCAATTTAGGTTTTTCTTAGTTCACATTTTAAGAGTATAATTGTGACTAGGGTGAATCGGTAACAATGAGCTGTTTCCCCTGTAAAGTGATATTTTGCAATGCTCAATTTGTCTTTCAGAAATTGGAAATTTTCTGATTAAAAAACAATCGTGCCATTTTTCCACAAAATCAATGCCAAAAGATCAAACTGCTGCATTAGTAAATCTGTTCTGTATTGTGTTTATTATTCAGTGGGGGTTGCTTATTAACCTTATTTAAATGATAATTTGAATACTTTTGGCTGGCTCCAAGTAGCATTCTGATTGGCTAACAAGTGGCTTGACCTATCGGGTCAAAAGAAACTCAACTCATTCATGGAAATAAACATGGTGGATATCGTATCGTATCGCATCGCATCATATTTTGCATGGGACAGAAATTTTAGGGCCTTTTACGCTTTTCTGATACTTAAATTAGACTAATCATGCTTTATTTCCCAAATACTTATCTCTAATGTACAATACAGTACAGATTCTGAAATGACTAAAACTAATGTGATGTGTTCTACATCTTACCCGAAGGTGCTTGGTATTGTGGCTGGTGTCCTGCTTCAAGATCATGAAGTTCGTCATACAGAATTCCAACAATTGCCTTACCACCGTATATTTATAATGCTGCTCTTAGAACTCAATGCACCTGAACACGTACTGGAGAGTATTAACTACCAAGTATTGACTGCATTCTGGTATGTGTGTACCTGCCAAAAGATGTTGGTTCATTTAGATCTGTCAATGTTAACTCTGACTTTCCTCCTACCCAATAGAATTAAAAAACTGAATATTGTAAAATGACTAATTTTCACTGGGTTTAAATTTCATTAATTTACCATTTCATGCACATTCAGTGGGTTTTAAATTCACTGTTTTATCATTTAGATAATGTGATCTATGCTCAATTTTACATATTCACTGGGTTTTAATTTAGCGCATTTTCCAGTCAGCGAAATAAGCAAGATTAAAACCCAGTGAACAATTAACCTTTTTACAGTATCATTAACTTTCTATTCACACCCTTTGACTATTGCACTATAGCTTACTTTGCGTTGACAAACAGGTTCCATTCAGCTTCGCTTTCAGTTGACAACCAAGCTGCTTTCATCCTCACTTTGGGGTGACAACTAGGCTGCTTCGTTGACAAACAAGCTCCATTCAGTCTCACTTTCAGTTGACAAACAGGCTTCTATTAGCCTCACTTTTATATTTCCTGCACTGGTGCATTCAATTCGGCATCATCATTAATGTTAACCATGTTGTATTTTCAGCAATGCCTTCCATGTGTTGAGGCCCAGCAAAGCACCTGGTTTTGCATATTCATGGCTGGAACTTATATCCCACAGAATATTCATTGCAAGAATGTTAGCAATACTTCCACAGCAAAAGGTAAAGGCTTCTCAGAACAAAAGTGTCTTTTCCCCGAACTTCAGGGTGTTCATTACCTTGTATCAGTGATTTTTGTCATTTTGACAAGATTGGCAGATTGTCTATGAATGAGTTCCCCTATCCTTGGGGGAGGAGCTATGTCACAAGATGTTCCATGTTGCTAAGACGTGCACCACTGTACTACATATTTCTATGGGATCTGGGTGCGCTGCTGAGGAACCCGGAATACCGAGCCAAGAGCTGGTGAAAATTCAAGAAAATGACAGGAACTCAACTTTGAAGTAATCCTGAAAAATCAAATTTATATGCGTTACACATGCAGGGTAATCTTGTTACACTGTTGGAGGGAGTCTCAACAACCATCCCAAAGTACCGTTTTCTGAGAGTTTTCGGGCTTTGTTTTTACCGTGATGGTTGCCATGTGGTGCAAATGCCCGGATGTCCGCCCCTGAGAATATCCATGCTTTCCAGAAATGTATTCAAGAAGGCGACTTTAATTTATTCAAGAACCTTCAATTTACTCTTCTGATTCTATTTACACATACTTTTTGTTTGTTAAAGGGTTGGCCAATGTATGCCCAGTTGCTGATTGATTTGTTTAAGTTTTTGGCCCCGTTTTTAAGGAATGCTGAGTTGGCCAAACATACAACACTACTGTATAAGGTAAGAGACTGATAGTGTGGCACCAAAATCATGGTTCCAGCCATGTTAAAAATCAGTGTTAACACAAGTAATAAATTTGTTGTGTTATAATGGTTAGTGTTTCAGTACCTTGTGCCCACAAGGCTCGTAACTGGTTAGATGAATATCATCCAGCCAGAGGAGGAGGCATGAAGCTTTGTTGCAAGTTTCAAATTAGTACAGTATAGCTCTTTAGATTTACTTAACTGAAACTGAAAATCACTTCACAGCTGCATCAATACTGTCCTTATCATAATGCGTCAATGATTGTATTTTTGTAGGGTACTCTACGAGTATTATTGGTGTTACTCCATGATTTCCCAGAATTCCTCTGTGATTATCACTATGGTTTCTGTGATGTCATACCACCGAACTGCATTCAGATGCGTAACCTCATTCTCAGTGCGTTTCCAAGGAATATGCGGCTACCTGATCCATTCACGCCAAACTTGAAGGTTGATATGCTGAATGAAATAACCCATCCTCCAAGGATACTTACCAACTTTGCTGCCATGATACAGCCGTCATCGTTCAAAAAAGTGAGTTACTGTGGGTGTTGGGTTAGATAAAGATTTTGATATTTATGAAATGTGTGTGCCACAAGTATATTGCCAGTTCCTTGGGCCTCCCTCATCCATAACTCTAATCCCAACCCATCCCCTCCAATGCCCCTCCACCATTTCAATTGTATATATCCCAGTTTGGGTCACTTGGTTATTTGGAGGTGCATATTTAATTACTTTGGGGGGGTGAAGTTTTAGGGTTCAGGTTAGGGGGGAATAATAGGATCAATTGGATTAAATTTTGATCTCTGTAGAAACTGTAAGCTGCTTTTTGGCAGTTACTGGTGTACATCTCTATGCAAAAGCGCATTCAAACGACTCTGACAAGATTTGTCAACAGATTACAGCATGCCTTACTAGATAATGGTCTGTAACATAAAATATTATTGGTTGCTGTTCCTGCAAGGCCATTTATTAAAAGCTGAGACATCTACCCACATCTGATTTTAATTAATGTATTAGTATATGCCTGGTCCAATATTTTATATCCATCCATCTGTGGCTGGTTATCTTGACTTGATGAGCACTTTAGTTACCGAGTTTTAGTCCAGGTGCAGCAGTTCATATTGCTTTTATAGCGACTCTTCCTATCTGTATCAGAAGAGAGTAAAACCATTTAATCCCACAGGTCTTTAACATACTACTTATACTCTGTAGGATCTTGATTCATACCTGAAGACGAGATCACCGGTGACTTTCTTATCCGAACTTCGTGGTCATCTACAAGTGTCTAATGATCCGGGTATTAGATACAATATTCCATTAACAAATGCTTTAGTCTTGTATGTCGGTTCCCAGGCTATAGCATATATACACAGCAAAGGCAGTGCACCCTCAATGAGTACTATTACACACTCGTCACATATGGATATCTTCCAAAACTTAGCAGTGGATCTTGATACCGAAGGTAACTACTCTTTATGCATATCAGACTAGTTAGGTACTTTATATTTAAAGCCACAAGTGTAATCGAATGCTATTTTACACATTATATCCTTATACATGACCCATATCTAATGCTTTAATGGTTATGGTTTTATACCATGTTTGTGGAAAAATAAATATTCATGAACCTAACTGACAATCAATATGGCTTGACAATACAGTGTTATTTGTTCTGGTTTCAGTTATGCTTTAGCATGTGCTCATTTTAAACATGCATAACATTTAATTAATCAAGAGTAGTTTTGTAGACAGACTACCATGTTTCAACTCTACAAACTTGGACTGAAAATCTTATATATGTTGTCTTTCAGGTCGTTACTTATTTCTCAATGCAATAGCAAATCAACTGCGCTATCCAAACAGTCATACCCACTATTTCAGCTGCACACTTTTATATTTGTTTGCTGAAGCTAACACAGAAGCAATACAGGAACAGATCACCAGGTAATGTGTCATACTGATTAAAACGATTGCAATGTATTTTGTGAATTTTAGCAAAGTTTCTTCAATTGGTGGCTTTCTGTTCAGTGAGCTCTCAGTGAAAGGTGTCAAAGGATTTGATTTTGAACTTCAACTTTTTGTTTGTTTTTTATAACTTATTGATACCCTTACTTATTGATACCCAAAAATATTGCAATGTGTTTTTGCCGCTGTCTTTTTTTTTGAATTGTTAAAACGTCACATTTCTCCACATGTGGGATCTCACAGTGGTTTATTGTAAACTGATTCATACACGAACAGTGCACTACTTGTTGAATTCTATGAGTATAGGCAAGTTTAAGCCCTTCACCAAATTCGTATCAAGTCAGTACATTAGTTATTAACATTATTTAATTTCAGGAAAACTTATTTTCTGGTATAATTACATGGCCATGTGTTTGTCTTTCAGGGTACTGTTAGAACGTCTTATAGTGAACAGACCACATCCTTGGGGCTTGTTGATTACATTTATTGAGCTTATAAAGAATCCCAATTTTAAGTTTTGGAATCATGAGTTTGTTCACTGTGCACCAGAAATAGAAAAGTAAGTCCTTTAGTATATACTGTATATTTATTAGTCCCCGTTCGGACACAGTCCGAAAACGGGGACTTATGTTTTGCCCTGTGTGCGTCCGTGCGTCCGTGCATCCGTGCGTCCGTGATCACCTGTATCTCGAACATGCACGGACCGATTAAGTTCAAACTTCACTCATACATCACACATTATATGGGACATATGCACATGCATTTTTTTCATGATCCGATTAACGATAGCCGAATAGCGGCATTTTAAGGCCGAAATGCATCATAAATCGCACATTTTCACCATTCCTAGACCCGGATCTCAGTTATGCATGAACGGATTTTGGTACATACATTCAACATAATAGGACCTTGATGCACGTCATTTTTTGGGATCGGGTTTGAAATGGCCGACTGGCGGTCATTTTGTTTTAAAGAAGTCAGTTCTGGATCCGTATCTGAGACATGCCTGGATTGATCGAGTTCAAACTTCACACACACGAGGTACATCGTGTCACAAATATGTATGTGCATTTGTTTTATGATCTCATTAACGATAGCCAAATGGCGGCCGCTTCAAGGCCAAAAATGCATTGAAATCGCACATTTTCACCATTCCGGACCCGGATCTCAGTTATGCATGGACGGATTTTGTTCAAATTTAGTACATACACTAAACATAATAGGACCTTGATGCATGTCATTTTTTTTTTCAAATCAAGTTCGAAATGGCCAACTGCCGGCCATTTTGTTTTAAAGATTTCAGTTCTGGATCCGTATCCGAGACATGTCTGGATTGATCAAGTTCAAACTTCACACACACATGGTACATCATGTCACAAATAGATATGTGCATTTGTTTCATGATCCGCTTAACAATAGCTGAATGATGGCCATTTTAAAGCCGAAAATGCATCTAAATCACGTATTTTCACAATTCCGGAACCGGATCTCAGTCATGCATGGATGGATTTTGTTCAGATTTAGTACAATTTGTTGTACATATGCAGGTGCATTTCATATCAGACAACTGAGATTTCGGTCATGATCTGCTTTGAATGTATATGTCACTCAAATATGAACGGAACGGGGACCTGTCATTGACAATGACTTGTATTTTCAGAAGAATTGGCTAGATGATTGCTTTGGAATTCGACATGTATTTATACGGATATTAAAGCCACACATCATACTATGAAGACTAAGGTCGGCATTTTGTTATGTGTTTGACATGCAGCAACATAGCCATATTTGAAAATTTGAAATTAACTCAAATTATATTGCTACTGCAATATGCTATTTACGTTCGTGTCCGTTAAATTGCGCGAATGGGTGTTTGGCGATGTTACGTGTCCAGTTGTATTTTTTCAACAGGTAAGGCATATTTTAAAAAAGTCTCGCGTGCGAAAAATTGCTCTTCTCATTGAAATGCTGAGGAATGATGAAATAGCTGACAAAATTGTTGTTAAATTGGCAGGTCGAATGAGTGTTAGGATAAATACTCCATGTTACGATAACGTTCTTTATATTTATCTATCGTTGTATTCAAAGGTCATAAGTAAGTTACACAATTATTCACGTAATATTATACCAAATCCCACATACGTTAAAATAGAATCTTTATGTAGGGTTATAATATTGTACTTAATGTGAATGTGTAAACTTGTTACATATTATTTCAAAGCCCAAGTTATCAATCAATTTTGAAAGTCTTTGAAATCGAATCCGCATATTTTCCAGCAATGCAAACACAATTCCATTCCACTTCATAGTCGATAGCACATATGCACACGATAAATAAGTTACTCAATACTCATTTACGTGATTGTATATATTGAGCTCGTAAAGCCAGCTGTGAACATTGCCCAATTCTACACGCAATTCTACACGCAATTCTACACGCCTCAACGCGTTTGCGTTAAGATAATATTTTAACATTATAAGACTGGTTTTGTATTTTTAGCTTAAATAATGTCAACGCACTGGCTAATGCGATGCTTAAGCTGGTTTGACACATCATTTTGAATCAAACATTTTGTTCTGCCTCTGTATTCTTTTTGTTCTGATATGAAATATTGTATTTTGATCAATAACTTGTCAATTTATCGTTGGCGTTTTATTATGCTCTAACTGTGCGATAACAAAAATATAAAAATTGATCAAATTCTACACAAGTGTGCATGGAGGAACAATCAAATTTTTGATTAGATATTGTTTGGTAACATGGACATTTATTTTTAATTTGTGACTCTGACTCTAAATAATATCTATATTGTTATCTGCATTCTTATCTGCTTTGCACTAGAGAATAATACTGAGCTGATTTATATTTACTCCAAACACGTCAAGATGTTTTATCTCCGTTAATAACATATTTCAAAGTGATGCACAGATGCCTGTGGTTTGTTCAGAATACCCAACTTTATATTTGTATAATATTCAAACAAATATTATATTAAATGTCGGCCTTCAGAGGGATTAGGAAAAATTAAGAGTGATACAAATCTACTATTAATTTACGTATAGAAATATAGCAATTATGTTAATGCTTGTTACAAGTTTGTTGTATGTGAGGATAAAATCATTTTATTGTAATGATTGCATAAAAGTATGCATTAACCTATCTGGCATGCAACGTGCGAAATTGTAAACACCACACTTTGTAGATAGAGAGAGCTGTAACTGTTAAATTATGTTACGTAGTGTGTGACACATTTATATCCGAGTCGAGTGCACCGTATAACTTTGCATATAAGAATGGTATATCACGCAATACATGTCAAGTATAATATTGGGTCAACTACATTATTATAAATATTTTAAATAGAATAATGACTGGGATCATCGTAATGTACATTATAAGCACTAATAATTCCCGGCTCTATTGGTTCTCTTTGAGGTACACATATCCATGTGAATCGTAATGATGTACATCTATAATCCTAGTGCTAAAAAGGAATGCAAAAAATATGTGTGATGTTCATCCTGATTAAGTTATGTATAATGGCATTTGAAGATATGCGAGAACTCAATAAAGCGGCGATTTCAAAATAAAAAACGGAAACGGAAGGTTGTCAAGGTAGCATAGTATATAACAGTTCGAAATATAAATATGTCATTCCTATTAAAGGATGTTTTAAAATGAAATTGTATTACCTATGCAGCCCCCTGCATTAATAGACATTCTTAATTATGGCGTGATACCTAAAGGAATTCTTTATAGGTTTAATAAGTCCGATGACTAGAAAACGTTGATTCGATCAATCGATCACTTTAAATTAAATGCCCCGTCAAATTTACGTAAGTTGTCGTCTATTTATGATAGTTGCAGACACATTTTTCACTAGTCACTATTGTGGGTTCTAGTCCGTTTGACACGATGCATACCATATGCGCAGGTGAAATATTCTGTTCAATATTTTCTGATTTTATAAAATTAGAAGATATAAATTTACGCACCAATTGATGTTCGATGCCGTGATGCGTAATATGTATGCCTTAAATGGCAAATTGAGCAGAAACCGTTTGCAGGCGACAATATGGTGAAATAGATGTATTGGTAAAATTATTTCTCCGGTAATGGCGGAAGCCGCACCGCCGGAAATACTTACTATGCAAAAACGCGTAAATTATAATATTGTTAGCAAAACAATGGAATATATCGTCAGTTGTTAATAGATTTTCGAATGAGGAAGGCATCTCGAAACTTTGGAAAAAAATAATCACAAAGTTTGTACAGCTTATGACAACATGGAATAGTATCCGATAAACTAATTGTCATTACGCAATAAATACTGTACGATATTATGTTAAAAATGAGATACATTTCACTATGAATGTCATATAACTAATAATATTCAATAAATAGAGGATACCTCATAAGTGACCTTACAATATCGGATTTATTAAACGAGTGTAATAATTCTCATTTGTTCAGATCTTTTGGCGCGGAGGGTTTGAGAATGGGAGAATGTTAAATGAATTATCACAATGAGGCATCTGAAACTACCAGGAATGTTGGAATTAATACAATTCTAAAAACAATAATTTCAAGAAATGCCAGTCATGATGTCAAAAATTCATTCTGCTTGCATGGATCAATCAGAACGGCGGAATTGTTATTACATAATATGCAAATATAACAAAAATCATTACACTGTTCTATTAGTACACAGAGTTTTTTTTATAATATATGGGATACATAGTACATATATAACCTATTAACCTAGCAACATTTTTTAAAATTTTGCCATATACATCAAAATCACATATTTCAATTTTGTATGTGTGCTTGTGATGACGTAATTTTTGATGATGAACATTTTTGCCAGGAAATCGTAAAGATTGCATTTAATATTCAGAGAAAATTTTCTCGTATTTTCTATAAATTATTGTTAATTTATTGCATTTGGAAAGTTGGCTGATTAGTTTCCAAATTTAAACTAAGTGGCTGACCTACCGAGCCACGCAGTTAACAGTTAATAATCTAACCTAAAGTCTAGTAAAGCCTTATATGTATTACGAGACTGTTATACGAGCTCAACGAGTGGAATCGCTTTTCTGCTATGTGAGGGTTAAGGTTGTATAACTTTTAATAAAATAACCCTATCCCCGACAATACTATCATCATCAAGATTTAATCTAAAGATATAATGCACTATCTTATAGAATTGAAAAGGGTGTTCTAATTTATTTAGAAAAATCCGAGTAAAACTGCATCATAAAATAAATTATCACTTGATCATATTATTGTGTTAATATATATCATTCATTGTATATTATGTATCGTATATTCAAATATCGATGAGCCATTTTTTTGTAATTATTTTCAGATATCTGTGTAAATGTTGTTGCATTGATGATGTGGAAATATAAATAAATTCCAGGGTCACGTGCTTTGTAATTACACGACATTACACGGGAGGTTACTGTGATTGTAGGAACAAACGTTTGGTCAGCACATCTCGTACGCTTTTAGAATTGTGTTCTGCTTGTTTTAATGACGACCCACATTGTTGTAGCCGGTGTTTTTTTACGTAAACGTTG